TTTCCAAAGACGTTTCCGTGGTCATGTGGCCAGCAGGACGAAACGCCAAAGGCGCGCGGAACGCTGTTACCTTCCCACCAAAGGTGGTCCCTATTTTTCTACTTGCATTTTTTACATGCTTTCGAACTGCTAGGTTGGCAGAAGCTGGGACAAGTAACGGGAGCTCACCCCGTTACGCAGCACTAGGGATTCGAACCGCTGAACTGCTGATCTTTCAATTTAGTAACTTTGAACGGTCACTAAATGAACTGTTTTAAGTTGAGGACTGTCTGTCGTTTCTTAACTTCTCAGCAGAATGAAAGCCTTCAGACCTTTGTGCAAAAGAATAGAGGAAGAAGGGATTGAGATTGGAGGACTCAAAGTCTAGAATGTACAGGAATTCCTTGACTTACGACTACAATTAGGACCAGAATTTATGTTGCTAGGCAAGGCAATTGTTAAGTGAGTCACACCCAATTTTACCACTTTTTTTGCCACAGTTGTTAAGCAGATTACTGCAGTTGTTAAGTGAGTCACAATTAACTAAATCTGTCTCCCCTAATTGACTTTGCTTTTCAGAAGCTGGCTGAGAAGATCTCAAATGCTTGTTCACATGACCCAGGGATGCTGCAAGCATCATTTATAATGTTGGTTGCCGAGTGCCTAAATTTCGATCACATGACCGTGGGCATGTTGAGGTGCTTGACAGTGTGAGGACTGGTCATAAATTATTTTTTTTCCAGTGGTGGTGTAACTGAATGGTCACTAAACAAACAGTTGTAAGCCGAGGACTAACTCTATATCACAAACAATAGGCATAAAACTCACAGTCCTCGCATTCTGTTTAACTGCAGACTGAGGATCAAATGGGGTTGAGGGAGAGAAAAGAAAGCACTTAGAAATTTATGGTTATCTACTATATACCACTCAGAGATCAATCAGCTCATACAAATCTACCTTGATCTAAAGTAGGGCTGTCGTTTGACAGCCCTACTGCATCCCATCCAGCCCATGGGCGTGATGCATCACGCGCTGGCCATGCCCACGCCCGGTTTAGCAAAGGGGGGAAAAGCCCCGATATGTCATGTGACACCTCTGTGATGATGTGAATTTGACACCCCTAATCCAGTGGTGAAATTCAAATATTTTTACTACCGGTTCTGTGGGCATGGCTTGGTGGGCGTGGCAGGGGAAGGATACTGCAAAATCCCCATTCCCTCCCCACTCCTGGGGGAAAGATTTGCAAAATCTCCATTCCCACCCCACTCTGGGGCCAGCCAGAGGTGGTATTTGCCGGTTCTCCGAACTACTCAAAATTTCTGCTACCGGTTCTTCAGAACCTGTCAGAACCTGCTGGATTTCACCCCTGCCCTAATCTAAAGCATTCAACAAAATCCTGTAGGGATATTCCTCATAATTTCACCTCACAAGGAAGACTGGTGTTAATAGAGATTAGGAAAGGAAAGGTGTGTGGGCGAGACCTTAAGAAATTAAGTTCTGTCTCCAAGTTCATATTTCTTCATTCTGACGGGACAAGATCATTCATAAAATGCATAACAAAAGTGAAACTCTATGACATTATTTCCCTGTCAGGATATGTTGTTGAATTCCAAATAATAGGGTCCTTGTGTACATCAATAAGAGAATGCCAAGATAAAGTACATGAATTTGTCCTGTAGCAGATATTGTAGAGAAAATGTTTAAATTTGAAATGTAGCAAGATCAAACATGAAGATTGGATATTGCCTTTTCTTTATATGCCAAAGAAAATATTTAAGGTAAGCTGAAACATAGTTAATGTGACTTCAACTGTAGCTTTCCAGAGGGTTGAAACATCATAAATATGTTCAGAGTGTGTTAACTTTTTATATTACAACATTAGGTGCTTTTGTTAAGATCCAGACAAAAAAATTAGTGTACCCAATATTCAGAACTCCTGGACAGATTTGGTTAATTGTAGAAAACACGTTGAAACTCCTGCCTTTTCAACTTCTTAGTTGACTTGTAAAATAATTAGCATATAGTTTTCCCTATATCTTTCCATTACTCTTAAAAGTGCAGTTTGGTTTAAAAGTCCAGATTGTCATTTGGTAAAGAGAAGTACAGGATCACCCAACTCTGGAAAATATATATGTATTTACTGGATTTTCACTTTCCCAGGTGTTTCCAGATAAGGCTTTGAAAGTAATTAGGAGCAGTTAATCACATTGCAACAGCAAATAGGAATTGCCTATTTGATAATGAGCCTGGATGTATGTGATTTCTTTTAAATGTGTGCCTGCACAAACTTTAACTAGCTATGCCTACACATGCTAATGTATTTCTCTCTTTTCAAACTGGGCCTATTCTGGCTACAATCCTGGCAGGAGTATTAGAACACCCTATTTGCCTTCCAGATATTTTGGACCAACTCCCAGCAGCCCAACAGTTAATGCAAAGATTGTGAGAAATATAGTGCAAAACATCTGGTGTGTACCCAGTTGCTTACCCCTGAGCTATGGTAAATATTTAGCGCACATACTTTACAAAGAAGAAAAATCTTTTGAACCCAGAAATTAGCTCTAACCGTCATTTCCTTTTGCACAATTCTGCACAAGTAACTAATGACAAACAAGTAGTGTCACAGGGGTGCTCCTATTGGCAATCTAGCTCCCATAATATATTCCTTAATTTTTAGTTTCAAATATATGTACTTGGCTTAAAATAATTTCTTCCTTGGAGGCTGTCAAAAAAAGACCAGAGCTGTCCTTGAAGGCAGTGGTGGGTTGCTACTGGTTCTCCCCAGTTCTTGCGAACTGGTAGTGGAAATTTTGAGTAGTTCGAAGAACCGGTAAATACCACCTCTGCCTGGCCCCGTCCCCAATCTATTCGCTGCCTCCCGAGTCCCAGCTGATTGGCTAGAAGGAAAAAATCAGTGTTCACTTGACAAAGAAGAGAAAAAAAACCCAAGACACCGTCGCTTTAAATTGAGAAGCCAAGAAGCCTCCCAACAGATCGGCTAGAACCGATCTGCTCCTTGTAAACCACTCGGTGGTGGTAGATTGGCAATTGAGGCCAAGCTGCCTGAAAGCGGTTTCCGATGCTCTCGGTGGTGGCAGAGCAACAAAAAACTGTTTAAAATCTTGCCACGGTGCTTCAAAGGGCTGCCCTACAGCTGATCAGTGGTAAAAGGCAGTGTGGTGGTAGACCAGTGCACTCCAAAAACAAATGGGTAGATCGGTGCGCTCCAAAAACAAATGGGTAGACTGGTACGGCTCTGCAAGCAGTTAAAAGCCTGGTAGACCAGTACCTCTGCTAAATCCTAAAGAATTGTTTGTCACATGACCATCAAGCCACGCCTACAAAATAAGCCACGCCCACAGAACCGGTAGTGAAAAAATTTAGAACCCACCCCTGCTTGAAGGGATTTCATTTGAAGCAATGTGCTGATCTGAATACATCCAGTTTTGATCACCACATTACAAAGAAGATTTTGAGACTTTGGAAAAAGTACAAAAAAGCGCAATTAAGACGATTAAGGGCCTGGAGGGGAAAAAAAAACACGAAAAATAGTTGCAGGAATTGGGTATGGTCAGTCTAGAGAAAAGAAGGACTGGGGTGACATGATAGCAGTATTCCAGTATTTGAGGAGCTGCCACAAAGAGGAGAGAGTCAACTTATTTTCCAAAGCACCAGAAGGCAGGGCAGGAAACAATGGATAAAAATTAATCAAGAAGAGAAGCAAGCTGGAATTAAGGAGAAACTTCCAAACAGTGAGAGAAGCAATCTGGAATTAATCAGTGGAACAGCTTGTCTTCAGAAGTTGTAGATGCTTCATCACTGGAGGTTTTTAGAAAAGACTGGACACCCGCTTAATCTGAAATCCTATAGGGTCTCCTGCCTGAGCTGGGGAATGGACTAGAAGACCTCCAGGATCCCTTCCAGGTCTATTCTAACTGATAGATTGATTTGCAGGTAAAGGGTGATGAAATCATGTGATCAGTATTTATGCAGGGGGTTTTTCTTAGAAAGAAAATATGATCAAAAGAAATTCTTGCTGCAATGTTGGTGAAAGACCCCCCCCCAAAAAAATTACCAAACAGCCATACCCCATGATGATAAAGGTGATGAAGTGTCAATTACTTCATTACAACCACCCCCCAGAGATACGCACAATACCAGACCTCGGACTTTTCGTCGGGCCCTGAAAACTTATTTATTTCACCTAGTTGGGCTGGCTTGATCCCACTGTTTTCAGTTAAATTGAATTGATTTTAATTGGGTTGTTTTAAATTGTGGCCCAAAATATTTAATTATTTTTAAACTCTTTTTAAATTTTGTATGTTCTGTTTTATTTGAGTCCTGTCGGAGAAGGGCGGTATACAAATTAAAACAAATAAAATAAATAAATACTTATCTGCATTTATAAGATCCATTGGGTGTCCTCTGGTGGCCTTCTTTAAAATTAGCTGTTTTATATTGACAAACTTCTTTCAGTCTGCTGGGACAATTTTGCCAAGCCTTACAGACAAAATTGCTCACATTTCACTCAGAAGGCAGTATTGGCTGGGCAGAGCCTTGTGAGATATTTGGTTATTCATTTATGCAGACATTAAGCCACTTCAATCTGACCAACACTAAGCATTAACTTTGGCATTAACTATGGGTCTCAGCAATTGCATTCAGACTCAGGAGCCAAGAACAGCTACAATTCCCTATCTTCTCTATCTATGGCTATGACCATTGTACTCTGGCTATGGACTCCAGGGAAGTGACATTTGCAGAAGTCATCTGAGAGCCATTTGAACTTGTGGATTCTGGAGTAGTGATTATGACACAATGAGTTGTGCTACAGATTGTCTGGATCTGGGTCTTTCTGATTGGTTCAAGCTGATGTTTTTGACAGAGGAATGATGCTAAGGGCCTTTAATGAGGTAATGCAACTTCCCTCAGGAAGCCATGGATTGACAGCTATCTCCAATCTTCTCCTTTTGGGGAAGATTGCAGAGAAAGTGCTTAGGAGACAACTAGAGATAGCCTGCGCGAAGTGGATTATTTAAATCTCTTCATGTCTGGGTTCAGGTATGAGCATCGGAAAGTTGCATGCACCAGCCTTATACAGGAGACTAAACCATGCTATGTAGATCTGAGCTACTTTTATTGGAACAGCTATAATAACAGAATCTTGTAAGTCTGAATGTGCTAAAAGTCATTTATCTGTTCATTAACTAAGATTAACAATTTTTATTAAAAAGGTGTGACAAGTTATTTGTGGAAGTTGAAAATTACTTTTCATTGTGGAAAATAAAGTGCCTTATGCATTCAATATGTAAAGCATGTTTTAACAATTGAATTTTTCTAAAACCTTTTCAAAATATTTAAACTAAATGAGGTATTTCAGGAAATTCTTGTGTGTATAAATTATTTTAATATTGCTAGTAGCACTGATGATGTTACTTAGTTTGGGTAATGAAGCATCTGCAAGAAAACAACCAAGTTTAGAGAGCACCAAAGACCCTAAATTATTTTAATTCTAAAAGATTCTAGTAACTGTAAGTGAAATAGGGATGACCATGACTTGAATGGTTGAAAATCTCCATAGATAAGTAACAAACATTTTGAAAGAACAAAAGATTCCTTAGCATATAAAGCTATTTTTTAAAAAGATGTGATACAATTTTTGGTTCTAAATTCAAATATTTAATATTCATGTTTTCATCACATTCAAGTTCTATGGAAGCTCAGGATATAATCTTTTTAGGTAACTGGAAAAATTACAAAATAATGCATCTCTGAACTTTAAAAAAAAATCATGGGAAACTAGGAAATTTAGGAAAAGAAAAATAGTAATTAAATTGTCTCTGTGGGCTTTAAATCAGCAACTTTCTGTTTGCAGAGTAAATGATATAATCATCATCCTATTATGTACATAATTAATGATAAAGCTGACCATAAAACATATCATAAGCATAAAACAATAGTAAGCACTGACTCAGCTGAAAGGAAGAAGAGGGGAATTAAGGAGAGCGAAAAAAACCCTACAAAAATAGTATAGATAAATATTTGGTTTCTGAGTTCCCTCTTTTTTTATACGTCAAGTGATTTAGAATAGAATAGAATAGAATTTTTATTGGCCAAGTGTGATTGGACACACAAGGAATTTGTCTTGGTGCATACGCTCTCAGTGTACAGTTTACAGTGTTTATAAACACAAACTTTAGAAATCATATTGTTGCTTGATATATAATATGTCTGAGAGTAATTCTTGATTTTGTTCTGGTCTAAAACTGTAATAATAAATTGTATTGTATTATATTGATTAAATTTAAACTAATAGGTGTATACACACACACACACAAACAGAGAGAGAGAGAGAGAGAGAGAGAGAGACAGAGAGGTGGGCGGCACATGAATTAACAACTGGTTCGCCCAGCACTGAAAATGTGAGCATGCACACACGCGCACTCATTTCACTTGTACACGTGCACGCTCATTTTACTTGTGCATGCGCACACTCATTTCACTCACACATGCGCCTTCCAGGCATGCATACAGCCATCCACACATGTGCTTTGGTCACACACACGGCTTACACGTATGCACGTCAGTGGTGAATTCAGCCGGATCTATCCTGATTGTGCGATCCGGTAGGGCTGGTGGCAGGAGGCTCCGCCTACCCGCCCAGACGTCATCATGTTTTTGACCCTCTGCGCATGTGCAGAAGGCCCTGTGAATGTGTGGCAGAAGTGTGTGCGAATGCTCACATTTGCGATCCGGTAGCGAAGGTAAGTGCATTTCACCCCTGATGCGCGTGGCTTAAAAATATGGGTAAATAGGATGGCATAGTGGCAGGGCAGGGTGGTGGGGGGGGGAGGACCCCTCTGCAGGTCGCAACTACTGGTTCGACCGAACTGGTCCAAACCAGCAGCAGCCCACCACTGCACGCACACATACACACACAAGTTTAAATATATAAGTATATATATTGTTAATTCTGCCATTGTTGCTCATTCTCCAAGTTAAAGTTCCCAATCAGATATCATTGGTGCTGTATCCTTTTTCCAATGCTGGGCAAAGCATTTATCTTAATAAACTATGGTGTTTTTAATTGATATATTCTAGGATTATACTTAGTAAAAAGAATGTTGGTTTCATTTAGTCTTTGCTTTCTAAGTTTCTCTGAATGGTGCTGTCTATGTCTTTGCAATAGTTTTGGTTTATTTAAGAGGTTTACCACATGTGGTAGATTGTAACTTCAGTCTCATGGCATCTTATTGAATGATTTATTTATCTTGCCAATTATTGATGGAGTTGTATGCCACCTGTAAAACATATTTTATCACTTTTGTCTTAAATCCCGATTGTTTCTATCCAGCCTTCCTCTCTATGCTGATCTTGGGTTATTCTTTGGTTTTCTGAAGAGCTCTAAGAGATGATATGCCAGATGTGACACCTCTAGATCATAGGAGAAAGACAAAGGGTGAATCTGACCAAACACAAGTAAGAAATCATTTTCAGGCCTCCATTATGGCTAAAAGAGTGATAAAACATTGCTATTTCTCCATCCCTTTTGAATTCTGAAAACCATCCAGCGGCACTATTTAGGTTGGCCAACTCCCTATCGGGGTAGGGGCTTGGCCCACAGGATCATTTCCAGGTTTGTGGTGAGGCATATTGATGCTATCTGGCAGATAAAGTTGTTTGGATTTACTCAGAGTTGGACTTCCACTGGGCAAATCATAATGAGTTGGCCTTGAAGAGCATTCAGAACTACAACTGGTTGAAAATGGAGCAGCACAAGAAATAACGGGCATCTCTCGGTGTGGGTTAGACCTAGGTTCCACCGCTGGTATGCAAGCTGCATTGGATAGCAGATGGGCTCTATGTGCAATTTAAGATGCTGATTATTACCTTTAGGCCTGTATGGCATAGAATGGCCTGCTGGCGGCCAGCAGAGCTGACAACAGAGTCGGACAGTGAGGAGGTTGGGGAGGAACTTGGGTCAGTCCTGGGGGCTGGGGAAAGCTCAGACGAGAGCTGTCCGAGCTCTCTGCTGGAGGCAGAGAGGGAGATAGACAGCAGCGAGGTAGAGGAACAGCTGGAGCCCGTTCCTAGTGTGTGCATGTGCAGAGGTGCCAGAAGACAAGAACAATTAAGAAAGCAGAGTCGACTTGGGAGTAAGGCCACACCTTAGAGATAATTGGCCCCTCCCATAGGACATAAAAGAGGAGTGAACGGGACGTGGGCTTTTGCAGGAAGCAATTAGTTCATTTGGTTGATTCAAGATTGGAAAGTTCTGTTCGTGACTCTGTGCCAAGTTTGGCCTTGTCCTGTGTTTGGAAATTGGTTCTCTGGCAGCGTTCCAAGTGAGATACGGTGAGTGTTGATAAACATTCCTCTGAAAGACTGTTTGCCAAAGCCTTGTTGACTGTGAATGACAGTAAGTCATTTAAATAAAAGAGATTTGGCCGGAATTAAGACTTTGCTTCATGCTTTCTAAGGAAGCCTAGGTCAGAACATAGAGGATGGATATCTGAAATATCACTTGTGTTTAACAGTTTCAGCCTACCCAGTATATTCTAGATGAGTGGGTGTGCTGCAGGTCCCCTCCATTAAATTTTGTTATTTTGTTATTTTGGACCTAGAAAGCATGACTTCTCTGTTTATTGCCCCAACCTCTGGAATAGTAGCCCCCCAGAGATAAGGATAGCATTCTCCCTTCTGAGGTACTGGAAATTTTTGAAAACCTTCCTTTAGTCGCAGACCTGGAACTGATGTTATTCTTTGTTCAACAGCCTCTGTTAGTTTTGTTGGTTTTACTCTCTGTTTGATGATTTTAGTCTGGGTTGTCTGATTCAGTGTTTTTAGTTGTTTTTATTGTTTTGAATGCTTCCCAGAGTCCACTGGAGCTGGGCAGCCAGTACATTTAAACAAATAAACAAAATAATGCTTGAATTAAATGTTATTCTTGTGATTTATTTTAATTTAATTATTCCACTTCATCTTAATTACTGTCTGAATTTAATTTGTCTCTGACTTGCTTTTTGCTATATCTATCAATTACATTTCAGTCAGGGGTGAAATGCTACCGGTTCGCTGCAGTTCGGGCAAACCGGTAGTGATTGTCAATCAGCTGCACTGCATGATCATCAGAACCTTTTTTTTTTTTACTTTTTTAAAGCATTTTTTTTACTACCAGTTTGGGTGAATAGGTAGTAAAAAATGCTTTTAAAAAGAAAAAAAAAAGTTGGCCACACCCACCCAGTCACATGATTCCCCCCACAAGTCACGCCCACCAAGCCACGCCCACAGAACCGGTAGCAATTCACCACTGATTTCAGTACAATATTTCCTTGTGAACACTTGTTATGAATTGTTATATAACCAATAATGCTTTCGGATTACTTTTGTGCTTTTTTCCCCATTCATATTATTCTCTTTTGCCTCTATTTTACCTCATACAATATTTCTTCTAAGTATTTTTATTGCTTGAACAATTCTTGTATCCAGGATTTGCATTGCTAATCTACGTAGATAGTTTGGGAGTAATTACCAAATAGTAAAACAACTTCTACAGATTTAAAAATCTATCTTTCTTTGAAGTCTGTTTATGGCTTGGGGCTTTATGGTAGCACTATCTGACCAGACGTCATAAACAAATTCTTTCATTCCTCATGCAAATTCCATACACACTTCACAAACTCAGCAAACTGATCGATCAATCCAACTACGAACTACAGACTACCCATGCATCTATACTATTTCTTTATTTTAATTTTCTGTCAATGTTGCCCATTTTTTAATATATTAATGGTGAAATGGCTTTTGAACCCATGGTGAATAACTACATGAAATATGTTAATGGAAATTAACATACAACATACAACCACTATAAAAGCATCTGGACGTCATTAGGGATGGGACTGAAATCAAACTGCTGACATAGTAATGCTCTAATCTATATCTGTAATGACTGTGCTCAGCAGTGGCCACTATATGTCTACAGAAATATTGTGGCAAAGATACAGAAATTGTAAACAAAATAGCTCAGGGTTAAAAAATAGTTCCTCTGTAAATAAAGATTACAGCAATATGCTATGATTTCAGCATGATGATAGAAGTACATAGAACTTTGCAACTAAATTCTAATTTTGCAATATTAGAATGTGGAGTCCTCTGTTAAAGTTAAGTGTGAGATATTCAGGAAGCAATTAGTTATTTATACAAAGTGTAATTAAACTGTTCATTTGCTAACCAGTAATTTAGAGGTTTCTGATTTCAGATATAATTTTCAATGCTTAATGACTGTACTTTATATCAACTGCAGAATCATTTAAACACAACACTGGAAGATGATTATTACATTCGGGGTCTGCTTGTGAACTGATGCAACCGATAGGTACTGTTTGACACAACTTTTCTCCAGTTTTATCTAACCACAGGACTAATGTGCTGTGACAACCCCATTTTTATGGCAATGTATCCAAGATAGTATATTTTATGGCATGTCTTCATGATATTATCATATTGAACCATGCCTAAGATTGTTCTTAGCTGTTCCAGTGTTAAAGTAGGATTTTCCCATTAAGTAATAACAAGCCACAGCAGTTCCAAGGTACAAAAAAACTTATACCCACCCCTGCAGCCAAGCATTCTGTGCACCACTAGTCTATTTGGAATTTCTTTACCCATAGAAAGAATTAGACAGGGCCATGACTGGATTCAGTGGATTTGCTGAGATGTTGAGCTTTCACAGACAGTTAGATCTGCAACCACTTGCTATACTATATTCTCAAAAGATCTCAGTTTGATGCTTTTTCAGAACTTTACACTTAAGTTGCTGAACCGATGGATACATCAAATTGTTCTCTCTTGCTTTACTGTGCAGCAACAGAAAAGATGGGTCTACTAATCAATTTACAACTTGAAGAGGTGCAGAGTTTGAAAGAATTCCCAACCTACATTCTCCCAAGATTAATAAAGAAGGAAATTGACGGCCAAAACATTTGTCAAAATTTTTACCACCTCAAGCCTCTGAACAACTGCAGTCCCTCCTCTTTTGCCACAGTAAAGAAACCTCCTTTCATAAATTACCTCTTCTTCAGTCCCATTGAGTTTGTGGTGTTTGCTAATAATTATGTGCACTCCTGTTTTGCAGTGTCTAAACTCACCACCTCCTTAACCTCAAAGGGCATCCACACAGTCTTTTGCTTTTGACAAAATGACAAAAGTGTTGAGCTGTTGCATTGCTCCCGTCGTTGCTGCATATCAAGTCACACTGTGATGTACAAAAGGGACAGAGCCTGCATTGTGACACTACTTTCATTGTTCTGCCTCTTCCCCTTACCATCTTATGGATGGTAAGCCCATATTAGCATCACTGTGGTGACAGTGGATGGTTTCCCTTTGGGTTGTGGCATTTGGAAAGTTGGGGGTGAGTGGGCAGGTGGGAGGGAAATAGTAAAGCCAGAAGTGCCCTGCCTATATGAAATTATGGCACTTGCAACAATGAGCCATGGTGGTACAGTGGTTAGAATGCAGTACTGCAGGTTAATGCACTGCTCACTCCAGGAGTTTGATTCTGAGCGGCTCAAGGTTGACTCAGCCTTCCATCCTTCTGAGGTTGGTAAAATGAGGACCTAGACTGTTGGGGGCAATATGCTGACTCTGTAAACCACTTAGAGAGGACTGTAAAGCACTGTGAAGCAGTATATAAGTCTAAGTGCTATTGCTATCCATTTGTGATCATGGCAAATCAACACCCTTCTGCAGCATGCTAAAATGTAGATAATAGATGCAGAATAGAGATCGCCAATGAAGCTAGCAAATGTTATGCTGAAATGCTTTGCTGATGCCCAAGGACAGATAGGCAGCCCTTTAACTCAGTAGTCAAGCCAAGTCACATCCAAAGCAAATAATGAATAGTTTGCAGTTTGTTACTATATGAGGGTGAGCGAAAGACACAGGGTGTTGCAGAATATGGTTTTTAAAAAAAGTATTTTTTAAAAGCAGCTGTGACAGTGCAACCAAAACTCTGTTTGACCACACCCTCTGGACACTTCTGAAAAGACTTAAGATTTGAATCCTGTGGCTATTATGAAATCATAGACTCTTTTGTTTGATTCTCAGTAGCTGATTTTTGTTATTAGTGTTTCTTGCCTTTTTACAATAAAAGCAATTGAATAAACAGCATCTACATTCCATTCAAAAGAGACAATAAAAAACCCAAAAAGGAAACAGAAAGACCGAAATACTCCCTCATCAACAATTAACAGCCAGATGAACAGAGATTAACACCAAGATTAATACAAGACCAACAATGTGAAGAAGTAAACAGTACTGCAATCAAGGAACCACCAACTCAGACAAACAAGGTAATGGTAAGGAGCCGCTTAATCAAGGAAAGAACCACCAAGACCATCCCCACCAATACTGACAGGGCAAGCCAGCAGTATATAAAATGATAGCAAACTCCACTCCCTTCTAGCACTGATGATATCACCTAGTTTGGTAATGAAATGTCTGCAAGAAAACAACCAAGCTCAGAGAGCACCAAGGATCTCTCATTTCAACCCTGAATTATAAATATGCTCTTCTATTAAACACATTTGTATGTCTATCTGATCTAGTCATTGAACTAGTCTGTGACCATCGACTCTTCTATGGTTAAATCTTGGTTGGGTTTCCAGAGCGATATTTACTTTGTACAGTACAATTGGTGAAGCTTTAACTAACAACATGATAGAACAGAGAAAGCCTTTGAATTAAAGATCTTATGAACAGCTTTAGTGCACATATTGTTTTGCCTCAAATATTTATTTACGTTTGGTAATAAATAAGTAGCCTAATTGCTGTATTTCCTGTTTTCTCTATGAACTATTTAAAATGTCCTATTCAGAACTGTCCAGTGCTGACTAAAGAGGTGTAGCAATTTTATTTGTTGATATAATCAATCATTACCTTCTTCTAAAGCCATAAATGAGGAAACGCTTCCTAGTTCATAAAGTGTGAACTACTCATACTGTATGTAAATAATTATTGTGTTTATTCATCTGTATTTCATAAGTTTCATAGCAGAGTTTAACTGTTTCGTTTTTAGTTTCTTATTTCAGTGCTAATATTTGACATCATATTTTGTTAACTGCATTTAAAAACATTTGAAATGTCCTTCCCTCTAGTTAGATCATTTGTTTTATTTTAACTTCAATTAAGGCAAAAATTACTATTATTTCAGTGGAACAAAGATATATACAGTGTTTTCAAGGAAATTGCCTTGAGTCTATATACTTGGGGGGGGGGGGCAATTCATGTATAAAGAAGATTACAAGTGAATCTATATACACTGGAAGTTATAATGATGATCTAATTTATGAATAGAAGTGTCAGCTTTGGAAGCCATATTAGGCCGGAAGCTTCAATGCTGCCACCTTCTCATGTGTGGGAAAGTAGGAGGGGGGATTAAGGAGAGGAGTTGTTAGTAGACATAATAGCATTCTTCCTGTCGGTCAAGGTCAGGGCGATCCAGCATCTGGAGAAGGAGTGGTCAGAGGGCTGGGTCGAGATGGAGCGGACGTTGATTGGAGCATGTGATCGACTGGGGGAGAAAGGGGATGGTTTTGGGGGGTTTGATTTACTGAGGGAAAACTCGGGCTTTTCAGATTCAGGTTTTCCCAGATGTGCCAGTTTGCCTATTCTAGTAAAGAGAACTTTGGAAAATGCTTGCTTCCGCGTCTTTACTTGGGGTTGGGGTTTTTCTGCAACACTGACAAAAAGTACATTACTATATTTTATTTGAACTAAATTGTATCAATTTTATTCCATACATATAGAAGGAAGTATCCAGGGTGTTCCATTTTCTTTGGCAGAAAACGTCGATCTTTCGAAGCATAATTTCCTTATATTGCATTTTATAGCAGCGCCCCTCCCCCAGCCTTTTTGGCACAGGGTCTGATTTTATGGAATACAATTTTTCCATGGACTGGGGGGAGGGGATGGTTTCTGTTTCACTCACTTGTCCGCCACTCACCTCCAACTGTGCAGCCTGGTTCTTAACAAGCCATGGACCAGTACCAGCCACGTCCCACAGGTTGGGGACCCCTCTTTTTTGGCATGCTTAAATTATCAATTTGCACAAAACTGATTTCAGGAATAATTTAAATAAGATGAAAGCAATTGAAATAAAGTTATTGCTAATAAAAAATTAACCACATTTTGAATCTAAATAATATATGTGAAAAATTCTTAAATGACTCAGAGACAGAATTGTTAATCTTACAGAAATGCAGTGTGTCCCTGTAATCCTGAATTTCCTTATCAAATTAATTCCTTACCAAGTTTAGCTCCTTACATTCTAAAGCCCTATAATAGAATCCTTGTTAAACTAAGATTATTCTATAAATACTATAGAATTTTCTGTGAAAGATATAAGTATGTACTTTTTAAAAGGGAATAGACAAATTCATGAACGTCTTCTTCACAAAAAACACTCAAAAACATGCATATTCCGGAGATGTCAAAGGAGGTGTGAAAAAAGTCAAAATGGCAGTCGTAATCATATGATCAAAGCTTTATCCCTTCAGTGCATGGGGAAAAAGGGGTGGGACTTTGATTGCATGGTTGTGACCTCATCTTGACTTTTATGAGCTTCTTTCTGTGGAAACTACTTAGCCTTGGACCATTTTTTACCCTCTTATCTGTTGTACCCCCACAAATCTTGTTCTTATCCCCGACCTACTGATAATTTCCCACTCCATTTTTTAAAGGCTCCGTTTCAATTTCTGTTAATATATTGCATTATTTAGAGGCTCTGGAAGGAGGTGCTTTATAAATCTAATCAATCAACAATGGTAGAGGTAATGATATATTACTTCTTTTTATACTCTAAATGACTACATACTGTATCACATTCTATGGGGAAGGCAAAGGACTTTATATTAATAATCTATCTCCTGGAACTATCTGATCCAGCAAGATGCTCTGATATATAACTATAATTTTACGTGTATTATAAACATTTTAATTGGATGAAGATCCTAGTTTGAAAAGCTTGTTCATTATTTTTCACATTGAGAGGTCTTATTTTTTGGCAATTTATGTCTCCTTGGTTAAATATTAAGAGATAAGTAAATGGTTCTTTTTCAGATTTGTCTCAAGGTATACGCATATACCCAGAATCAGTGTACTTAAGGATCACAGTTCATTTGGGCTCCAAATAAAATACAATAGAGTACAACTTTAGTTGGACAGACTAGTCTGAACAAACGTTTATACAGCAAATAAAAGGAAGGACATACAATAGGTAAATCATTAGAGGAATTTAAGGTGCACTAAATCAAACTCTTATCAGTGAATTTCATTGATTCTTGCTTAATATATCTCAGCCTTCACAATATTGGAAAA